GTATCAAAGGCCGCTGCGATATCGAGGAGGACCAACAAGGACATATTGCCCCCGTCAGCCTCCCTCAGGAGGTCATCCTGCAGGGCGACCAATGCTGTTTCCATACCATGCCGCAGCCTGAAGCCCAAACTGCTGGCACTGTTGTTTCAGATTCTATGAACGTGGCTAGTTTCTTCCTGCACTGTGTTACCTCCCCTCAGTGCTAGGTGGACTTTCTCCATTAGCTGCTGCTGCTAGTGAATGAAAGTTGGTGGTGTTGCCTCTCCCCTCTTGGTGGTGTTGCCTCTCCTACTGCTTAATATCCTTTGCCCACTGTTTAATTTTGAGGGGGGGGGGGTCCAAGGGGGTTGCTAGAACATAATCTTCCTTCTACCACAAGGAGGCAAAACTGCAGTGGATCGGGTCCTTTAGCTTGCTGGCCAGGGCCACCACTTCAGTCCAGAAAAAATGCTGTTCTCCCTCTATAGAATCCCTATATATCTAGTGGATATCTCTAGACTGTCCACTCCTTATGCCCTCCATCATGCCACCAAGCCCTGAAACATTGGGATCACCTGGCTGAGGATGGCTGTCTCCCATCTAAGGACCTGTGTTGCACTCTTGAAAGAGATAGACCACTTGAACCATTACGTCCCATCTTTTCTGCCCAGATGATGAGCAGCCATGTCTGTGTTGCACTCTTGAAAGATATAGACCACTTGAACCATTACGTCCCCTCTTTTCTGCCCAGATGATGAGCAGCCATAACAATGGAAGTCTTCAGTGCCAAATCATGGAGTCCCCCCCCCCGCTGCTCCAGCACTTTTTCAATCAGGTAAAAAGTGGAGTTCCTTCAGGTTGCTACATCCTGGATCAGGTGGCGTAGTGACAATTCAATGTTTCTTGCTTCACTTCCCCATTCTGGACACTGGTGAAAATGTCCTGCCACTTCTGGTCCACTCCATTATAATAGGTATGCATGTGCCTTACACACACTGCAAAGCACCCCAAACAACAGACTAATAATGTGGATCATGCACCTCACCCCTGCAGCACTGCCACCATGTTTGCCCCACTATGACAAAGAGACCTTGGCTTTCCATAGTTAAACTCTACTGTTGCAGCATGTCCCTCGGAGCCTTTCACATGTTTCGAGCTGTGTAACTGCCCTCCATCTCAACTATACTGAACAGGACCCACCTGTATCCTGCCCTTGTGTGTTGGCCTTCACCTGATGCCTCCACCTCTCTCCAGTGTCCTGTCAGGGAGAGATGGGCATGTTCGGTTCCAGATGTCACTTGTCAAATGCACCACTTGTGTCCTGGCCAATTGCTGCTGTACTATTTGACTGACCCCCCCAAAATAAATCTGGCACCACCCAGCAGCGAAGGGTCATTTGGGATGGCAATTGAAAATGGGGTACCACTTCTGCCACATATCTATGGAAACCACTGTTCTCCACCAAAGAGAATGTCTGGTCATCTATGGCAATCATCTCCCCTAGGCAATGGGTAATCCTGGCTTTTTTATATTTATTTTTCAGATGTTGTCTGGCATTTGCTGCCTACCACCTCTTTCTGTTTGCTCATCTACCTCCCTGCTTCCCTGGGCTGGTGACTCAATCTCTGTCCTCTGATGACTCTTCCCCTTCACAATAAGGAAGCCACTTACTCCCACAGTACCCACTTCATTTGGCGGCAGCAGTGCTCTGTGTTGCCTCTTCAGGTTGTTGAAAATGCTACTGTTGGAGAAGTGGCTCAGTACAGGCACTCAGCCATGTAAGCATCTGTTGCACACCGTTGGAAATGCTTCCAGATTATTGACTTCTTGGGCAATCCAGTTTTTGACTGTGTAGAAGTTTGGGGGCTAAGACCTACTTTAGCAGCACTAAGAAAGATGTGGCTAGGTTTAGGGTGAAGGTGCCAGAGAAGCGCCTGTGACTACCTGGAGTGTGGGTAACTCTCTTGTGGGACAGGAGTGAGAAGGGAAACCACCTGAGGTATGTGGTGCAGAATTCCAGTGTGTAGGTGAAAAGAGTACGAAGTTACATGAGAAAGGTCCATCCAGAGGATTGCAGGGGCTGCATATTGTTGGCCAGCCTCAGTCAGGAAATCACAGTGTACAGCATTTTCATATTGTGCCACTACACCTAGCAGAAGAGCCGATCAGCTCCAATCCCAGCCTAGATCTTTTCTCTCTTTTTTTGCCTCTGTTTGCTAAACAGCTGTTCTTGAAAAGTGTAATCGCTTAGTTTACACAAAATACACAGATTTATATTGTTGTATGTTGAAAGGGGGAATGTTTAGCTAAATTTTCTCTTGTTCCTACCCCTTGTTTGATACACAGTGTGGTGTAGTGAATAGAGTAATAGATTAGGACTCTAGAGAACAGTCTTTAAATCCCCATTTCGCCATGGAAACCCATGGGGGGGGCACTGGAAAAACAGCTCCTTAGCTATCTCACTTACTGCGAAAGCCCTGTTAGTGTTGCTATGTTGGTTCTGACTTGACAGCACAGAAGAACAACAGCAGCAACCTTTGGTTTAAAATTTATGGGAAGTACAGTAAATATTTTGCAATTAATTTATTCTTTATTTTATTTATTCTTACCTCTTCTGCATACCTTCAGCATATCAAACAGCCAAGCATCAAGACAGAAACCAGTTCTTCACTGCTTCCCCCAGTTGTCTTCCTCTAGAGGTCTGACAAAATTGAGACCCAGTTTTCTTTTTAAAAAAATAGAGGTTATGTTTGGTTTTTGTGTGCGTGATGTCTACCTACAGACAGAGACACATACACAGAGGTCACCATTATCTCTAGGGAAAAGGGTGGAATAGAAATATACAACAATTTAGAACAGATTTTTCAGCATACTTCCCAAACCTGCTTTTGCCCAGCATAAGATTTGGTGAAAATACCTTAAGTTCCTTGAGTCCTGATGTTCTTCTTTTCAGTGTTGGATGCTTCCAGTATGACACACTAATATTAATTATCACACTGGGACTCATAAGTATTGTTTTCATGTAGACAACCAAAAGTAACACAGATATTTTGTCCATATTCCAAAGCAGGGAAATAGTCATTTGCCAAAATCTTCATTCACTGGCACAAAGACAATTCAAGCTCACCTCTCTCTTCCCCACTCACCCCTTTCAACCAGGTTTCTAACATGATAGAAAGGGCTAGTCTTTCTCCCTTAGTCTCTTTTTAGCAAGGTTGGTGGCCACCTGAGGGCAAATGCTCTTAATTCCACACCCAAACTCCCAAATGCCCTGTGTCTGTTGAACTGAAAGATGCTATCGTATCACGATTTTACATCTGAACTAAAGTATAAATCTGAAATTGGTTCCTGAGGCCAAACATATGAGGAATCTTGAGAGAAGCCAAGATGTTTCAGTAAGACTAATGAAATTTCTCAGAGGGGGTTTTGCACATCCCCAGGTTGTCATTGGACTTCGCCCAAGCAAATCTGGAGGTTCCTCCTCAGGAGCGATGTGTCAGGAATTCCATGGAAAGCCAAAAGAATTGTATGAGTCATTCAATGTTTCCAGGAGAACAGGGTAGATTTGCACCTCACTAAAATATTCATTTGTCCTGATTGAACAAAGGAGATGACAAAATCAAAGCTGCATGCAGATTCTGTTACCGTCATGGGAGCTGCTTGCATCCAGATTTTAAAATTGGGAATAGTCATCAAAGGAAAACTACTTCAGACTCAATGGCATTTTTAGGTGGCCCTTTTGAGAAGCAGGATGGGTGGAGTAGGTGAATCTTACAACATTGTAGATGGAGATGTGCCCTGTCATCTAAATTATAATATGCACTCAAAGATGGATCTCCACCTTTGGCAGTTAAAATTATCCCTGAATCAAGGCCACCGTATGCCTATGCACTCAATTGATGCAAGTGAATATTATACATAACAAGAACGTCCTGGCCCAAATATGGCTTTATTATCTATCAGGAGAGGAGTCCAGCTGTGAATTAGCTCAACAGAGCAGAACTATTGGAAAGAAAAGAAAATGGAACATTGTAAGGTAAGGATTATACTCAGAAAGTACCGCTCCTAAGTATCTGTTCCCCAGAAAGTGGAGGCACAGACACTTAGTCAGCATCAATGTGGACAATATTGCAGGTAGCTTTATTCCCTGACTTGTAACTCTTACATCTGGCTGTAGAGCCAAAGGTTAGAAGTTTGATTCTCCACTGTGCATCCCAGAAGAGTCAGCCTGTGTAGCCTTGGGCAAGCTGCACAGTCCCAAGATGCCCCCAGAAGAAGGGAATGGTAAACCATTTGTGAGTACTCTTTTACTAGAAAACCCTGGAAAGGGTTGTCATAAGTCATAATTGACTTGGCGGCATGCAATTATTATTGCTATGGCTCTTAATTTACTATAATTTAGAGTTAAACTAAATTATACCACGAACATTAATTAAAAGCACTGCAGAAGAAGGAAGGATGGTTTGTTTTTTCTAACAAGCTTAACTGAGTCCACCTTAGACAAATTTACTTTTGTTTCGTGATTGGGAGATCTGTCTGTGTGTCTGCTGTCTCAGGCATAGCATGTTGATCTGAACAATGTGCTTGTCTGGTAGGATAATGTAAGGGGAGGGAACAGGCATTTGCTGTTCCATGTTATCCAATCCTGAAATTCAAAGGAATCTCTCATTTGGAATGTTTGCATCTTAAGTAAGGAGAGGTGGAATCAATCTATTTGGGCCAAAAGTGAGAAAAATGTATCTTATGGGCTGCATGTGGCACCAAACCCCTTTTTTGGAAGCCCTCCAGTGTCCCCCAGGACACCCCAAAGTTTTTATTATAAATGAAACACTTGTGGTTTGCCACCAAAATTCTGCAGCAGACTTCTAAATGGGTTGCTCACATCAGTCACACAAGTGTCCACTGAATTTTAAATGTTGACTGAAAGAAGAAATTAGCTTTGATTGAAAGAGACCTTCAATTACCTTTAAAATTATTCCATAATGAATTAAACATAATATTTAATTCTTCTTTGTGGTCTCTGTGAATGCACACTATAGAGTTTATTCTGTGCTTATGCAGATGTTTCTGGAATATTCTAGAGCTAGGACTACCCACTAGTACACATGGTCTGCCCGTCCTGCCAATTGTCTCAGTTTCATTTTGCCACTTGCTGAGGCTTCATCTCCCGAGCAGAGCTCTGTTCGCCTTCTTTGTGAGTTTCACTAGGGGGAAAAGTAGGAGAGTTAGAACGATGAATCTTCCCTCTTCCATTCCCTGACCTGTCCCCTCTCTCTTTTCCACCATTTTATGGCCCCGACAGGGCCTTTCAAACTGTGCAACTCTTGCCCCAACAAGATTCCCCTCTCTGACAGACACTATTCGTGCCTCTTCTGCCTTGAGGAATCGCACCAGTCTTCTTCATGTCAGGCCTGCAAAAAACTAAAAAACAAAAAACAAAAAAACCCCCACAGAAACTCACACTTAGGCAACAGTCAGAATGTTCCCTACAACTTCAACCACCTGCTATGGACACCACAAAAAGCTCTCCAATCCACAGCTCAACCCCATCAACTGAGATGCCATCTACCTCATCTGCATTGAGACCAGCACTGGTCAAATCCAAATCCAAGTCGACCTCCAAGTCTAAGCCCTCAGGGTCGACTTCGAAGTCGAGATCGACTTCAAAACTGGCCTCGGTATCCAACCATTCCAAGCCATCTAAAAAGAAAAGTCATCTCAGGACTGTCCTAACAATCAATCTTAGCGTACCTCATCTTGATCTGCACTCACCAGGACTGCTCTTCCACCTCCCATACTGGAGCAAACAACCATCTGTCTTGACTCTGCTTTGGGAGAGGATAAATCCAATTTCCCACCATTGGGCCAACCACTGTCCCCAGTCTTCAGTCAATCACCTGAATGGGGAAAGTCTAGGAGTTGCTCTGTTTCCACTCCAGACTTGGATTCAGCCTCCACTTTGGCTGATCCAGTACTTCCTTGCAAACGAACTGGGAAAACTCAGCAGAGACCTGCAAACTTGATGCCGAGCATCTGGAAGCTCCCCCAACATTGGGGTTGATGGCATTGCATGATACTCGAGCTCGAAACTATCCTAAGTGAGTTACGGTTTACAAACCTCCAGCTTACTATGAGCCTCAACCCAAGCGATATCGAGACCAGTCATACTGACACTGGCTGTCTGATCCTAGGTTCTATACTGAGCCTAAACACCACTGGTATTCCTATTACTATCCCTCTGACTCATTGGGATCACCATCCCCTCCTCGGTGCCATACAAGGAGAGAGCCTCTTCAGGAAATACCTTCCAATGATGAGTTATCTCCTCAACCTCTGATATCAAAGCCAACTAAATACTACCTCAAACAATCTCATACCACTAAGCTACACTCCTTACAGTCAACTATGGCACTAAAGTGACCTCGAACCTCAGTACAGACCCACTCATACTACTGAACCAACTCAAGTATGATCATCTTTGTTACAGGTTACTACTACATATAGAAGACCACCAGCAGCCCCACTTGATGCTACACACTCTCATCAACCAAGGAGATCCACATCACACACATCCACACAACTTCCGTCCACTACATCCTATGGTACTGGTAAGACCAAACGTTATGTCCCTTTGCCTCCACTGCAAGGCGACATTGCCCACACTTCAATGTCTCCTTATGGACGTTACATCTCCAGATTACCAGTCTCCACAACCAACCAACTCAATCTCCAATACCGAAGCCTCAGACTCCTCACCCCTACCTGAGTACCCACTAGAGATGGGGACGAATATAAAAGCAGATTGGTTTTTCTGACAAATACAGCTGATGCGTTAAATATTTGTTGATCTGTATTTGTGGGTTCTAGAGACCCCCAAGAATATGAAGGAATGAATATTTATCCTTTTTTTATTCATCCTTTGTATTAAAAAAACACCATTCTGCCTACCGGCCGCCGATCAGCTAATTAGCGGCAGAAAGGCAGACACCACAACACACAGCCTCCCAATATCACAGCCTACCTCACCCCTTCCTTTCCCTACCTTAGGCCCCACACCACGCCACCCTACCCCCACCAACACCCTCTTACATTAATCGCTGCTGCCTTGCAGCCACAGCATGTAAAAATAGAGATTGGCTGCCCTTTGCAAAGATGGGGGTTGCAGCTTCATTTAGGGTAGGGAAGCTGCAGCTGCCATCTTTGCAAAGGGCAGCCTGGATTCACTTAGTCTGCCTTAAGGGAAACCAGGCTGCCCTTTGCATAGATGGTAGCTGCAGCTTCCCTACCTTAAATGAAGCCGCAGCCACCATCTTTGCAAAGGACAGCCAGTCTCCCCTTTTACACGCCATGGCTGTGGAGGCCTGATGGAGCAGCTATTAAGGTAAGGGGGTGTTGGTGGGAGTGGGGTAGGGGCTAAAATAGGAAAAGGAAGGGGGTGTGGGGGAAGGCTGTTGGGGAGGCTGGCTGTGTGTGTAGGGGGGTGGCTGCCTATTGGCTTCTGATCAGCTGATTGGTGGCCGGTAGGCAGAATGGGCTTCTGGGCCGTGTAATAAACTCTCCTGTAGGGACCCAGTTTGTGAGTGAATAACTTGGATATCTGATATCCAATCTTCACCAAAGTTGGCAGGCATGTTGGGGAAAGATATAGGAAGATCTGTTGTGATTCTGGATTCTCTAAGTACCTGGGGGGCGCTTTCCTGGGGGGACCTCTGAGTGACTATATAACTTAGGGGTCTGTAATCCAAAGTTCATCAAACTTTCAGGATTTGTACAAAATCATCTGCGGAAGCTCCTCTGCAAATATGGTGTCTCTAGGTGGTCAGGAGCCACTGTTGGGAGCCATTTAAAGTGCAGATGAATTGACAGATTGATCCCTCGATTCATTGAAGAATATTCGTATATTTGTATTATTTGATCCGTTAACCTTTACGAATAAAGAATCTAAATGAATTGCCATTTTTTAATTTGTCCCCATCTCTAGTCCCCACCTAACCTGCCTACACCAGACTCTGATATTGCGGATGCTAACCCATCATCACCATCGGAAGATTCTTATTCCTAACTTACTTTGCATATAGCAAAAGTTATGGACCTTGACATTCAACAACCCATGCTGAATGAGTCAGATAAGGTTTTTGAAGACATCAACCAGGACCAGATCCCTCCACTCAGTATGGGATTCATACCTTCCCTTCTTAAACTTATTAAGGAATCTTGGTTCAAACTTTCTTCGGTATCACAAATTTCAAGATGCATCAAAAATCTCTACAAAATACATGGTGACAATACCACATTCTGATCTTAACACCCTCCTCCCAACTCGGTGATCATAGACACCACTCAGAATAGAGCTCACAACTGCTTCAATGCCACTCTGAATAATTGAGAAGAAAGAAAATTAGACTTCATTGGTTGTAGAATGTACTCTTTGGCCTCTTTCACTTTGTGGGCAGCCAATTACCTTGCAGCAATGGGAGCCTATGATTGTCACCTATGGAATAAGGCTTTACCCATTCTTCAAACCACACCTGATGAGTATAAAGCTCGCCCACCAGGAGCATCAACACGTGTAGCTTAGATCTGCTCATATATCAGAGGATTCACTGTTGTGAATCAAAGACTTACCATTCAATGGCATAGGCCTCTTCGATGAGAAGACTGATGAGATTCTAGACAACCTGCAAAAAATGAGAAAAACAGCACATTCTTACAACACTCAGTCTTACTTCCACCCTCAACAGTACTAGTGGCTCCGTACTTACCCTTACGAACAATACCGACCACCAGCCAATAAACAGAGGTATCCACCACCATCCTCCTCATCTTTTTCACCTTGGCAAAACTCACAACAGTGCCCCTGTCAATCCTTTAGGTGCCCTGACAAAAAGACCAAAGTCATTGAGTCTTTCACTGAACAGATCCGCTCTTGTTACATCCTACAGTTCATGAGCTCCACCCACCTTGCATCCTACCTCCAAGTCTGGGCCATGATTACCATCAACACTTGGGCACTCTCTATCGTCGAGTTGATTATGTGATTGAGTTTCTTTTTCTGCCATCTTCAGGACCCTTAAGAACAACAACTCCATCACCTCTATTAGAAGAAGACGTTTGATCCCTATTACAAAAAGATGCCATTGCTCCTGTAACTCCATCCAGCAATGACCCAGGATTCTTGCTTCACAGTTCCCAAAGGAGATGGCAGCCTTTGGCCCATCCTCTACCTATGCAACCTCAGCTCCTACATCACCTCAAAGTGTTTCTGCATGGTCACACTAGAACACATACTCCCCCTCCTTCAGAAAGGCAACTGTCTTGCAGTCATAGACCTAAGTGATGCCTACTTCCATATAACCATTCGACCAGACCATTGCAAATTTCTCAGATTTTCCCTTGAATTCTGCACATACGAATTCGAGGCCCTTCCATTTGGCCTCTCCACTGCTCCACATGTCTTCACAAAATGTATGGCGCCTGTAGCAGTGCATCTCTGCATATGCAGAGTCACCATATTCCCATACATCAATGATTGGTTGCTAGTTGCTCCTTCCTCTTCCAAGGCCTTACACGACATAGATCCCATTTTGTCCGTCTTGGCAGATCTGGCACTCAGAGTCAATGTGGACAAATCTATCCTACAACCTTCCCAACTCGTGACTTACATAAGAATCATTCTAGATTCACCACAGTCTCGTGTCTTCCTCCCACACGAATGAGCAACAAAGCTACACATGCTTCTGTGCCACTTCTGATCTCAGACTACTGCTCACCAGACTCAGAGTCTGCTAGGGTTGATGGCCTCCACGACCTCCATCATACAACATGCTAGATTAAAAATGAGATCACTTCAGGTTTGGTACCTGTCTCTCTTCAACCCTCTCTCTGATCAACCCACCAAACTTCTGGCCCTTCAGCACTGCCTGGGGGCTGTACTGCAATGGGTGCAGGAGAACGGGCTCAGGCTGAACCAGGACAAGACGGAGGTACTGAGGGTGGGTGCCCTCTCAGCCAGGGATTTGGGAAACTCCCTCTCTTTGGGGGGGGTGTGACTCTGACCACCAGGGATGTGGTTCGCAGCTTGGGGATCCATCTGGACCCGGCACTCACTATGGAATCCCAGGTGGCGTCGGTGGTCCGCACCACCTTTTTTCACCTAAGGCGGATTGCCCAGCTGTGGTCCTACCTTGATGTGGGGGCGCTCACTACCTTGGTGCATGCGCTCGTAATCTTGAGATTAGACCACTGTAATGCACTCTACGTGGGGCTACTTTGAGGCTGCTGCGGAAATTACAGGTGGTGCAGAATGCGGCGGCCAGATTACTTAGTGCTGTGAGAAAATACCAACATATTTCACCCACTCTGGCCGCACTGCATTGGCTGCCCATCCGATTCCACATCGACTTCAAAGTGTTGATGCTCATGTATAAAGCCCTAAACGGTTTAGGGCCTTGATACTTGGCGGAATGCCTACTCCCACCAAGATCTACCCGTGTCACTCGTGCGAGCCAGGAGGTGAGGCTGAGGAGCCTAACGCCGAGGGAGGCCCGGAAGGAAAAGACAAGAAATCGGGCCTTCTCAGCAGTGGCTCCTCGCCTCTGGAACAATCTACCTCCTGAGATTCACGGGTCTCCCTCGCTGGGTATCTTTAAGAAGCAATTAAAGACATGGATGTTTCGGCAGGCCTTTCCATCATATACCTCTTTCCTCACTTTCTGTTTTTGTTTTGCGTATCGTGTAATGTAATGTAGTGTTTTTATCATTTAGAATTGTCTATTTACACTTTTATTGTATCATTTTATGGTTGTTAGCCACCTAGAGTGGTCCTCACTGACCAGATACGCGGGATATAAATTAAATAAATAAACAAACAAACAAACAAACAAACAAACAAACTTCTCAAAGTCACACCAGAGCTCGCCGCCCAACTCACTTGGTGGAATACACCAATCAACCTCTTCATCAGCAGGCATTTCAGGCCCCTCCAGCTTACAATTCAAGTTGCTACAGATGCCAGCTTTCTGTGCTTTTTAACCCCTGATTATAGAACAAGGCATACAAGTCACCACAGATGACACCATGGCCCTATTCTATATCAACAAACAAAGAGACACACATTTCTTTTCCCTCCTTTTCCTCACCATTCAACTATGGAAATGGTACTATAAATACCACATCTATCCAGTAACTGTCCACATTCCTACACAATGGCTTAGCAGATACACTGAGCAGGCTCTGTACTCAAACTCACAGATGGGCCCTCAATGACTCAGTGTTCCTCCAGCTTTGTATACTTTGGGGTCACCCTCTCATAGATGTCTTTGCCACCTCACACAATGCCAAATGCAGTCTCTACTGTTCCAGAGCAGGGATCAACCACAGTCATCTCTTCATGATGACCTGGTCTCCCAGCCTCCTTTACCTCTTCCCTCCATCACCTCTTCTTCTGAGAACCATTGTCAAGGTCTGACAAGACAGATCAAATGCCATCCTCATAACCCCTTGGTGACCCAGACAACCATGGTTCACCACTCTCAGACTCATGTACACTGACTTCCTCCATTTCCCCCTCCTCCCTCACCTCCTCACACAGAATCATGGTAATACCTTCCACCCTGATCCTCACACACTTCACTTATCAGCATGGAGAATCCACCCTCCATAGCTCATATTCTTTCTCATGCTTGGAAGCCAGCCACCACCTGTCTTTATACTTATAAATGTGCCACTTGAGCACATGAGCGTAACCTCCCTACCGTGCCAACAAATCTCGATGTGCTATTAGCATTCTTGCTTCATCTCTTCTATTGCAACCTTTCTTTGCCCACTCTCAAGGTTTACATAGCTGCCATAATTTCACACCAACTTCAAGGCTCTGATGCTGCCACACTATTCTGTCACCCCACTCTCAAACAATTCCTTAAAGGTCTCACCAACATTTGACCATCACGCTCACCTCTACCTCCACAATGATCCCAACACACTGTCCTGCAACACCTCACTCTACCTCCTTTTGAGCCATTGGTGACAACATCTGAGAGACTACTCTCCCTCAAACCCATTTTTCTTGTTGCCATTACTTGGGCCTGCCAGTCTAGCGAACTAGCTGCACTCCATGTCGATGCATTTTTTTCTCCAGTTTCATCCTCAGAAAGTTACTCTGTATACAGATGTTTCCTTCTTGCCTAAAGTTGTCTCCGAATTTCACATTAAAGCTATAGTTTTACCCACCTTTCCATCACCATCTAATGACCTGGAACATTCTTTACATTCCCTTCACATTCAATGGGCTTTGGCATTCTATATCTGTTAAGGTGCTACATTCAATATGCCAGCAAGTTTGGAAAACTCAACAGTGGCCAGAGGATTGGAAAAGATCAGTCTACATCCCAATCCCAAAGAAAGGCAGTGCCAAAGAATGCTCCAACTACCGTACAATTGCACTCATTTCACATGTTAGCAAGGTTATGCTCAAAATCCTCCAAGGTAGGCTTCAGCAGTATGTGGACCGAGAACTCCCAGAAGTACAAGCTGGATTCCGAAGAGGCAGAGGAACTCGAGACCAAATTGCTAACTTGCGCTGGATTATGGAGAAAGCCAGAGAGTTCCAGAAAAATATCTACTTCTGCTTCATTGACTATGCGAAAGCCTTTGACTGTGTGGACCACAGCAAACTATGGCAAGTTCTTAAAGAAATGGGAGTGCCTGACCACCTTATCTATCTACTGAGAAACCTATATGTGGGACAGGAAGCAACAGTCAGAACTGGTCATGGAACAACTGAGTGGTTCAAAATTGGGAAAGGAGTACGGCAAGGCTGTATACTGTCCCCCAGCTTATTTAACTTATATGCAGAATACATCATGCGGAAGGCTGGACTGGAAGAAACCCAAGCCGGAATTAAGATTGCCGGAAGAAATATCAACAACCTCCGATATGCAGATGATACCACTCTGATGGCAGAAAGTCAGGAGGAATTAAAGAACC